GGGGGGGGAGGGGGTGGGGGCCCCCAGCCATGAGCACCTCTGTGGCTGCCATGGCCTTGGGGAAAGGCGAAGGGGGAAGGTGGGAAGGGGAGGAAGGTTTTCCCCGCCCGTGGAGGCGGGGAGCTGACCCCAGCTGCCAGCTTACAGGGGCGCCGGGGCTCCCGAGGAGCTTAGCGAGGATGAAGCACCCTGCAGAGGCAGGGGTTAAGCCGGGAGGGCAAGGCTTGTCCTCAGGGTCATGGCGTTGCTCACGCGCTTCGGAGCAGGCAGGAGCAGGAGCAAGGGGATGCTTCTGCCAGGTTTGGGTGTTCCTGTCTGCACGTTCTGCCGGTCGAAGTGAGCGGTCGCTGCCTGTGACCTGCAGGCAGCGTGCAGGGCCACGCACGGGGGTTGCTGGGGGCTCTGCTGCCCGATGCACTCCTGCCCACCTCTGCCCTGTAACGTGACCTGATGCGCCCCGCAGGTTTGGGGCTTTTTTTTTTTTGTTTGTTTCGGTTTTTTTTTGTATCTCAGAGTATTTTTGGCAATGGTGATATGCTGAAGGCTGCCCGTGCTCCAGCTGAGTCCTCACGCCTAATGTCTCCTATCAGCATACTTTGAGCTGTCCAAAGTGGAGCGATAAGGAACCCTAATCTCAGGGATTTAGGTAGAAATTAGGCCACCTGCCTACAGCCCTATATAAGGAGTTTTTACTCTGGCTCGTTAGCCCACAAGCTGGCCCAGGCTCGCAGCCCAAGCACAGAAGTGCAGAGCAAATCTGCAATCACTTCAGTTTAGAAGTCACGTCCTGCTTGTTTATGGGTCTGGGGGCCCTGGCACTTAGGGAGACTCCACAGAGGTGACTGCTGGCCCACCAGAACCAAGGCTTGGTGGATGGGAGGCTTTATAAACCCATGGTTAAATCGAGCAGTGTGACCAATCCCAGCGATGTGCCCACTGGTCCCCAAGGAGGGCGACTTTGCAGACTCACAGCTGAGCCAATGCAGGAGTTGCTTGGGCTTCCACGGTCCCTTCACAGCTGGAATCCCAAACCCTACCTCTGCAGGGGAACTGGCTGTGGTGCCGGGCCTCTTCTCCAGCTTACCTGTACGTGGCACCATTGAGCTCTGGATGAATTGCTTGCTGATCTATTACTGACCACGGAGCTGTTGTGACAAAGAATTCCTTATTCACGCAGTTCCTTAGGCTTTCTGGGATGCGCCCTGGAGTTGGTAACAAAGGTAAGGACATGTCAGGTGAGTCCTACCTGTATCACTCTCTAATAGTAAGCTACACTTTTTCCATTTCACTATATTTGTTAGCATAACAGCAGGGGGAGGTGCAGAAATTCCTTGTTTCAGGAGGCCGTTTTGGTTGTTCTGAGGTGCAGGGTGGGAGACAGTTTCCTACCCTGAGTCCCAACTCTCTGCTTTCAGAAAAGCTGTTGCCTTGAGCCTGCTGATTTCAAAGCAGGGGCTAAGCCAGACATGAGGCTGTGCCATCCAGGTTAACAAGGGGGGGGGAGGCAATTTTTAGGACAAGAGAACCACTCATTTGCTGGAGTATCATGCCCACCATCAGTTACATCAAGAGCTGGACACAGGCGCCTTCAGTCCTTTGGGATCTGATTTCGGCATGCGGTCTGCTATGGTCTGCACCATCTTTTGGATTAGCACCATTAGAAGGGGCAGCAGTCACAGACACTCATCTTTGCCATGCTGCACAAGCGCCCCGTTGATTTAAAAAAACAAAAAAAAAATAAAACCCACAAAAAACCAAAACCCACAAAAAACCCTCGCCCAAGCACAAACACGCCCAAATGACAGAAAAGTAAAGTTTGGTTTCCCAGCTCTTCTGATGGGCAGAAAATCAGCGTTAACCCCTGTTCCCAGCCTCCTGCTGAGCCAGGGGCAGGGTGAGGCCCTGTCTATACCCCTCCTGCCTCACGTTCCAGGCGCACACGTGAGCTAACCCCAGCTTCTCCGTGGGGCTGGGTACCTGTGATCGCACGCCGTATTTCAGTAGCAGCAGCTTCTCTCATCTCTAGTGATGCCTGCTCGCTGTACCAAGCGGTGTGCGGAGTACAGATTAAATTAGGAGCATCTTTCAATGGGCCTTGAGCAAAACTGGGAGCAGGGAAAAAAAAAAAAAGAAAGATTAATCAATGTTTAAAAAGAGAATAAAATGTTGTGAATGGCAAAAGGCTTGGGGCCTGCCCTCTGCCTAGGTAAGCCTCAGTCCCCAGCCCCTCGCCTGCGGCACCGTGGAAGCACGGGGGAGGAAGCGCGGCTCCAGTGCGGGGTGCAGACTGAAAATGCACCAAAAAAAAGAGACAACAGGGCTGAAAAAACCAACCTAGTGGGTGGTTGTTCCTAATCCTCCCACAGGAATAAATGCCTGGGGCTGTCTCTGCAGCGGTGTGGAGACGCAGGGACAGGTTACACCCGGCACAAGGTGGGAGGGGGTGGACATGGGGGGTTCCCCCCTTTGTAGGAGCACGCTGGCTTTTTTTTTTTTAAATTGTTTCTGAAAACACAACCAACCTCCTATCACTACCCCCATCCCCAACCTGCAGTGAGGGGAGCTGCAGGCCCACTTATAACCAGCCCCTTCCCAGCTAGCAGCCGCAGCCTGCGGGAAAAAAATGCCAACATTTGCCACAGTACATTTGTTCTCATGGACAAGAGAGTGTTTTTTGGGTTTTTTTTTAAAACACAGGCGGATTGCTTGTTTGAAGCTCCCTGTGTCCCTTCAAACACCGGTAAATCCGGTGCCTGAATGGATGCTGCAAGGTGCTGGGCCTTTTCTCAAGCCAGCAGGACTGTCCCCTAGCCTGGCGCTGTGTGACAGGCGTGTGGCTGTTGTGACCCCCCTGGCCACACTGCTACAGATGGCAACCCCAGAGAAAGCCAGAGCTTTACCTAAATGGTTCAGACTCGTGCACATCAAGCGCAGCCCCTCGTATCCGTCCCTCCTTCAGGGCTTGAGTTAAGGCCTTCTCGTCCACCAGCCCCCCGCGCGCCGTGTTCACCAGGAACGCTCCCTGCCTCATCTGGCAGCGGCCGGGGAGAGAGAGATGAGAGTGAGCTGGGTGCCGTGACCCGGTCCTACCCCCGCCTGACGCAGCAGCAGGCGCCCGGGGTGCCTCCGCCCGGGACTGCACCCCCCCTTTTCATGCTGAGGGGCTGTGCTCCTGCCCCAGAGCAATCCCCACCCCGGTGCACGTGGGCGTTCTATGGGAAGCCCAGCTCTGGCTGGTATCGGCAAATAAAACCTGCTCCCGCTGTCACCTCCACACCACGGCTGTAGGGCTGGCGTACCTGGTAGCATGCTACCCCCCAGTAAACACCCTGGGGAGACAGACGGGCTGTTGGGTGCAACCAGCTGTAGCCCATGGGCACTAAGAATATCTCCAGAGAAGGAGGCTCCACAGCCCCCCTGGGGAGCCTGGGCCAGGGCTCGGGCACCCTCAAAGTCAACAAGTTCTTCTTCCCGATCTGGAAAAGTAAGATGGAATTTAGTGTGTACATTTGCAAAGGACAAGTGAAATATGTGAACTTCAGGAGCGTTGCGTGAAATTAATCTCCAAAATAAGAAAGTCAATGACTCTTCAATTACTAGTGCTAGTAGACATTGCATGCAGGGGTTTAGATTTTGAGAAATATAGCCATCTGTAGAAATATATTTGCTATATATTTCTCTACAAAGTTTGCTTCTTAGAAACCGTTTTAACAATACTTACTACACTCACGTAATACACTTCAAGACCAGGTTGGACAGGGTGCAGAACAACCTGATCTAGTTAGCAGTGTCCCTGCTCACTGCAGGGGGGGGGGGGGGGTTGGGCTGGATGACCTCTAGAGGTCCCTTCCAACCCAAAACATTCTATGATTCTATGATTCTAAGGCACGTGGCCATGACTGCAGAGGGACCCACGGCCAGCACCTATGCTCGTGCTTGCCCACTGAAGAGCATGAAGGTCGTGTGCATGAGGCAAATTACCTGCTTAATCGTGAAGTCGTTGATAAGGTGGTGGTTATGTTCGTTAAGGTTACAGTGCAACGAGACACAGTCGCTCTGGTAGAGCAGGTCCTGGAGCGTGTAGACCCGCTGGACTCCCAGGGACCTCTCTATCCCATCCTGCAGGTACGGGTCATAAAATATCACGTTGAAGCCGAACGCCTTGGCTCGGACCGCAACCGCCTGTGCAGTGCGACCTGTGTGCGAAGGAAAGAGAGGGGGGGGTCACTTAACTGAATCCCACTGCCCTGGCTCCATGCAGCTGAGCTGCCCCATGGCCTGAGCCCCCCCCCAGCCTGGCCCAGGGACTACCCTGGGGGTCCCCTGGGACGTCCTGGGCTCCCCAGAGACCCCCTGAAGGGATGCTGGCTGGAGGGCAAACTCAGGCCACCTTGCACAGGGAAGGCTGTGCTTGGGTCTAGCAAATATGAGATGCTTGTATTAAAATTTAAAAACAAACAAACAAACAAACAAAATGAAGAGTGAGGCCATTAGGCACCTGCTGGCTCACAGCCATTCGAACACGTGGCACCATCCGTGGCCACGCAGGGCTGGCGGGGAAGGCCCAGCGTGCGGCTCTGGGCATCGCAGAGAAACGATCCTCTGCGGCGCTGTGACTACCAGGAAGAGCCAAAAAAGGAAAGAGAAAAGCGCCGCCTTTTTTAGGCAACTTGTTTGTGATAGGTTTTTCAGCCTCTCGCTGAATGGCTGGTTAATTGGGCATGACGAAGACAACTGTCATGGCTTGGAAGCAAAGGGCAACTACAGCCACTGTGCTGGGGAAGGATGTCTGCGGCGTCGCTGGAGACCCCCCCTCCGCCCATCCCCGCCACAGGCTCCGCGTGCCCTGTGTGCAAAGCCGCAATTATTTATTTATCCTTTAATTTTTCCAGCCAGCAGCAGCACGGCAGCCCAGCACGCGCTTGGTGAGTGGTACGCAGCAACGCCCCCCCGTGCGTGCACGCGACCGGACGCCGTCCCGGTGCACCAGGGATGCTTGGTTGACCGGGGGCCATCAGCTGGGTACCTGCCCGGATGTCCAGCCGAGAGCACACAGCTGGGCCCTCACCCTGGCCCTGCCACACGGACCCAGATCTCCTGCTCTAACCTCACCCACCCGCCTTGCCTCAGTTTCCCCATTTAAACATGCTTATATGCCAGCTTTTTGCACTAATTAGCCTAGGGCTTTGCAAGATGACAGTGTGAAGCAAGTGGGGAAATTGGCTGCTGCACAGAAAGCGAGTGGAAATGCTGCTGCAACATTTGTGGTCGTGCTCCCTCACCGGCAGCCACCTCCAGCAGCCAGAACTGCTCCCTAAACCGGCACCTCCCCAAACCTCCCCTGCTCACGTTTCTGCCACTTTGCGTGTGTCTGGCCACCAGTCCCAGGTGACCTTCTGCTGCCTGAACGCACCTCCTGAACCACCTTGCGATGGCTGGACTTTGCTCCCAAAAGGGATATCCCAGAGGGCTGTCAGCAGAAGTGCTGATGGTACCTCTGATGCTAAAACTCCCTGTAGCTACGGGCGAACTGAAGACAAACTTTGTTTTTACACAGCCCTGCCATTGCACAGGGCAGAATGCCTCAGAAGGAGTTGGGTTGGTGTAGCTGTGGCTCAGGGATGGGGTTTTTTGGGAGAGGATGGCAGCATTACCAGCTGTGGTCCCTCCTGGGGCACTGCCAGGTTTCACCAGACTCCTCCAAGGGCTCAGCCAAGGCTCACAAAATACAGCTCCTTCCCCCCCCAAATCAACATAACATTCACACTGATCCACTGTGGTGGTTCTGGGTTTGAAAATGCTCATTTTAGGTCCTTCTTAGGGCAGTGAAGTGGCATTGAGTCTTCCTCAAAGACTGAACGTGGGGCCAGCAGCGCTCCATGCACCATTCGCAGGCTGCCTGCCCTTTGCCAACGTACCGAAGCCGATGAGGCCGAGCGTCTCCCCTCTGATGCGGGCGGCGCCGGAGGCCACCTCCCGGATCTGCTCCACACTCTGCACCCGCGTGCCTTCTCGCAGCGCCTGGTAGAGCCACGTGTTTCGCCGGTAGAGGTTGAGGACGTGGCATGCAGAGCAAACACCACAAAACACAACCGTGGCTCAGGGGGGGCAGCCCCGGCTGCCCGCCCCACCGCTCCCCCCGCCAGCAAAGCAGAGGCCCTTCACCCTCACGTCTCCCAGCCAGACCATCATTCTTTAAGCATTTGGAGTAATGTTTTCCCAGGACGTGCACAGTTTACGTACCGCAGCCTGAAATCTCTGCAAAAAAATCTCATTACCGTGACCGGTGACGCTCAGGAGTCCCCTACACCTCGGCGTCCCTCTGGAGTAAGGACAAGTGCAGATTTCAAGTGCGATAGCTACACAGGAGTAAGTCCAGCAGCAAAGGTTTGTTTTGCAATAGAAAGGCTTATTCTTGTTTAGTTTAATCTACCTTAAAAGCAGCTTACATCACGCTGGCAGAAGTCACTCCTTTTCCCCAATTAGACTGTTCAACCACTGAATTATTTAGGGACCAATAATTCGGTGAACTCCAGCAGGACGCTGCTCCAGGTCAGCGTGGCATGGCCAGCTTCTCCTTCCACCAAGTGCCGAAACAGTCAACTCAAAACACCCCTTGCTGAGCCTCCACCTGCCACAAACACCCCACCCGCACTCCCACAGGAGGAACCGATCGCTCCTGCCACAAAAGTTAGAGGCTTTCCCAAAATTTGGGAAGGGCAGGGGGCACAGCTGCGCTGGAGCAGCTCTTCTAACCCGGCACCACCACTGGTGCGCACCTCTGCCTGCCCCGGTGCGGGTCCTGATAACAGACCTTTGCCACAAAAGGTTCATTTTAAACCACTGTGTCCCTGCTCGGAGCTGCAAATATTAGGTTCACGAAGATGCCTCCCCCGTCACTGCCCCGCCAGGCCCTGGCTCAGTAACGCGTGCACGGGTGTGCTTCGTTTCATGTCTATCCAGAGGAGCAGTTAAGCACCTGATTCAATGCGATTTAAACACACATTTCAAGACGGATGTGTATTTAAGTGCTTTACTGGACTAGGGCCTTTGAGTAGAAAACGTGAAGAAGCAGGAGATAAAGAGAATAAGATATTCAGAAAATCCCCCTCCACTGCAAGGGGCACTGATTCAAAATTGAAAAGCTGTTTCCCATCCCCCTGCCAATCTCCCTGCTCCCAGGAACCTGCTTTTCTGTTTTTAAAACTGTTTTCCACCCTGTGGCTGTTTGGAAGACCTGCAGAAACTGGAAGAAAACTGACTGAACCTACAGGGAGAAAAAACCCACTGTCAACCACCCCCTGAACACACTGTCCACCTCCTCTCCCTTTCAGGTGACAGGGACATGATGCTCTGGTCCCCGCGAGCTCCTAAAGCTGTTGCTGTCTTGTTTTACATTCCCCATCTCTTCCACAAAGTGAACTTCTGATTTACCTCGGGGATTCGGGTGCAGCCCCAAAACCACGCTGACCATGCCCAAGCCCCAGTGAAGGGGAAGGGAGGGCTTCCCTAGACGATTGCACGTTTAAGTATCAAGCAACTGCTGCTGCCCATTTGTAGGCAGAGGCTGTGGTTGCTCATGGGGGAAGAGAAGAGACAAGAAGGCTGGAGGGCGATGGGCAGCTCCAGCAGCGCTCCCCATCGGCCTGCAGCTCCGCTGAGGGTCCCCATCACCAACCCATCACCAAGGTGGCACCTGTCCCTTTTCTGATGGACTGCTTGCTGATAGAGCTGGATGAAACCAGGCTGACTTTCCCACAAGCTTCTTAGGCTGTTATTTATTGCCGTGCCCCCCAGGAGCAAGAGCTGCTGGCACCAGGGGTTAAATACCCACGGTGGATGGTTCCACACCAGCATGTTCTTCTAGGGGTGTCTTCTTGTGGGTCAAAACTGCTCACCCCGGCCAGCGCAGCGCAGGCGGCTGATAGCACGCAGCCAGGCACCGTGTGTAGACACTGGTCATTTATTGACTGCACAGTCTAAAAACTACCTTATGGAAAGCAATACCAATTAAACTTTACGCTACACTTGTGGGTAGTCATTACATTTTCTACTCGAAACCACATCATTTGGCCACCCAATTTGCCAAGTATAAAAAGAAGGATTATACTGCAGTATCCCATTACTTTATTCGTTATATTTTTCCTTTCTTGATGTTCAAAGCCTCAGAACATTGTTATAATGGATAATAACAATAAGAGTTAAAAACATGAAGAAACCATTACATTGGGAAGACACTGTTCTCCTCTCGAAAAAAAATAATTCACTATATTGAGAATTGCTTTTTTAGGAATGACTATTTGAAACTCTCTTATCTCAATTATCCTTGTAAAATGGCTCACGTGAAATGGCTGTTATTCCTCGCTTCCCCAGAGATAACCTTTAATACAAGATATCCTAAACACTATTGTAGGGCTGCTTGATAACTGAATCTTGGGATCGGATGATCAAAACCAGTTGTAACTCAGCTGCCAAAATCACAGATACAATTAAGCTCTCCCGGTTGGGGGTGTGCAGATTGCTAAAGGTCTCAGTGACCATCCAAACCGGTATGGAAATCGGGTGGCCCCAGCACTTTCTGACAGCCATACAACGCAGCCTACATCCTCCCCTCCCCTGAACCTGGGCATACAGAAAAATCCCGTAGCTGGACGTAGGGGCTCCTTTCCGAAAATGTGGCCCTCTGTATTTTGGCAGTCCACATAACATGACCCTACAGTAAATCTCTTTTTCAAGTTCCTGAGGCACCTTTGATGAGACGGCAAAGGAGGCAGCAACCACCCAACGCACAATTCCTGCTCCAGCCATGCTGCCTTCCCAGTGGTGTGGGCATGACTCTCAGAACCAGATCAGATCACGAGACTAGTCTTGCTTAACAAAATATAATAAAACACCCTTCCTCCAATTTTTCTAATGCTAGATCAACTCTCCTGTGCCAGAAATAGAACAGCCATACCAATATCTGCCAGTACAAGGGGGCTCCTGCAACTAGGGACAGTGTGGGAACGAGGGACTCGGATGGGGCAGTTTTAACACAGTGTGAGCCTACAAGCTGCCATCTAAAACTGCACCGTTTTGTTTACTTCACGGTCAAGTTTTCTTGTTGTAGTATTCTCTACGGGCAAAAAAATGTAAACTGCACCTGTAATTTTAAGGGCTGAATCAACCCCCTTTGGGAGGTCCTGCCTGTGTCTCCACTTTGCCAGCATGCTCCCCGGGGAAGCAGCAGGTACTTGTGCTGATTTTAAAGACTCGGAGGGATGTGAGAGGGAATTGGGGTGTAAAGCTGAGACCTACCAAGCTCCCCCGCAGCTTTGATGTCGATGTTGTCGTAGCCACTGCCTATTCGAACAATGACCCGTAAGGCCTTGAACTTCTCTAGATCTTCTCGAGTCAGTGTGATGGTGTGGTACATCATTGCCCCAACAGCTTCATTTAATACCTGGAACAGAACAGAGATGTCAGGAGCCACCAGGACACCTGAAGGGGATGCCTGCAGCTCCTGAATCAGGAATATTACACAGTGAACTGTACATTTTTACTGCTGACCTACTGTCTGACCCAGGCACGGTGCCAGCTGACACTTCCAGGTATCACCAAAACTATCCGGGGTGTGACCCACCGACACTGAGGCCATTCCCTTGGGGAACGGACTGGACGGATATCTGAAAATTGTGATGTTACCTCTGGGGAGACAAGGCAGTGAAACCTGAGCCTGTCGCTCACCCGGACCCTCTTCCAGGTGGTTATCTGCTAATCCCTCTGCTTCCAACCAGCAGTAACTCTGCTTTCAAAAAGGAATTAGGTTTTATGGCAGTATCTATTGTTTTCGAACACAACTGTGTGTCACTCCTAACTCCTTGACCTTCTTTTGTATGTTGGAAGTACAAATACCTGTCACACTGCTCACGTTAACCTTTCCTGTATGTTTTCAAAGAGCACCTAAAAAGATCTGTGTGAGGCTGTACAGCCATGTAAGGCTGTACTCCGTCCCTTTCAATGGAGGTTCGAACCTTCATCAGTGCTCACCATAAGCTACCTCAGTGCTCTGGAAACCCAAGACTTACCCAAATTCTCCAAGACTGGCTCATCTATCATCTACCAATGTCTCATTAAAAAACCTCCATCCTCCTTCCCCCGCATTTAATATTTGAAGCACTGCAAAGATCAGGACTGATGCTATCTGTAGTTCTCTTTCCCAGATCCTGGAAGTGATTTCTGATCCCTTCAAACCTCATTTGAGTTATCTAAATGTGCACAAAGACCACTTTTAAAACTAGTATTTACAATTAGTTGAGCTTCCAAGCAGAAACGTTCATCCACACTGCACGGATCTGCCTGCAGCTGCCCAAACCTCACCCATCGCTGCTGGGGTGAAATGAGCTGCCAAGGTGCAGCCAGCACTGCTGTACCGAGCAAGCGGCCTTCAAAAAAATGAGAAACGTTAATAATATAGAGGTAAAAAACCTCATGGCAAGAGAGAAGGTGACTTTTTTTTTCCCAAAATAACATCTGGCTTTTAAAACAGCCTCACTGAATTTTAACCTACAGCAACTTCTGCTGATGTTATCTGCTGGTGGTCTCCAAGTGCAGCTTTATACATGGTTTTTCTCAAGAAGAATTGGAAGAGGAAGGCCAGAGCACACTGTCCCCCAGCCCGCCCGCGCCGGTGCAGCTCACGTTACCTTCTCGTGAATCTCCTGAGTTGATTGTGCGTCACAGAATGCAACCGTCGCCAAGTCCTTCAAAATGGGCATCTCCACCGTACAGTCCCTCCCGTCCAGCAGTGCCACCAGGGGCCGGGGGTGCATGGGGCCGTTCATGATTTGAGGGCGAATACCTGCAAGCAGAAGGAGGGCAGCTTTTACACCGGCGGCAGTGGAGGTACCTGCGCGTGGTTCCTGTGTCAGGTGGGGGGCAGAGGCACCTGGTTTCAGCTTGCACAACAAATTTCGGGGGATGATGGCAGTGCAATGTGATGTTTTGTGCAAGGTCTGGTTCTCCCTCTGGGAGTATGGATGCAGTTTGCCCTGGACGGAGAGAACTTGTCCAGTGAGACTTGTTCCAGGACTGGGATGGACAACCCCATTTCAGCTCCCTGGGACTTTATGGGGATGTCTCACCGCTGTGCCGATCCTCACCGACACAGGCCACGTTTCAACCGAACCACATGAGCCAGAGCTACCAGCCTCTTCAACTGTTTTATTTAGCATCTTAGGAGTGAAACCCAAGCCAACAGTAATTTTTTCCCCTGCCTGAAGGAGGGCCAGGATTTTGTTCCGCAGATGTACACTGGCACTTGGGTCTGTTTTTTTAAGGAATGAATTTATCATTTTGACCACCTCAGAAAGACAAGTCCAAACAGACATCCACTAAAGAAAAAAGGATTACTGGAAAATCACAGGAAGAGCAGGATACCGAAGACCTCTTTAGCATACAGGCATATATTCTGTTATATTCCCAGCTACCAAAAGGCTTCAAGGTGGGCACGGCGAAGCTCACCTTGCTCTGTAAAACCAAACCCGGTCTATCCTCGCATCCCGCAGGATGCTCTGGGATGTGCAGCTGGAGCCAGCGTGAAGGACCTGCATATAGAGGATGAAATAGCTGCAGAGCCCACTCCATGGCGGCGGCAAGCGCACTCATGCCAGTGCAGGACACTGCTCTCCTCACGCTTACACACGCCTCGCCACGGGCTGCTCCCTTGGAAATACGTGTATTGAGAGGGCTGTTCAGCTGCGCTGCGTTTTTCTCATTTCACAACTCCACGTTTTCCAGGCTGAGGTGAGGAAAAGAACAATCACCACCAAGGGCTGCAGAAGGCCGATTTTCATACCCTATTTATTGCTTTGCTGGGGATTAACCGGTTCATTTTTGGACAAGTCACTTCGAAATTTCTGTGCCATCCTTTACCGTTCAGTAAGGGCACTTATTCCATTAGGACTGTACAAACTATCTATCTCAGCTATCTTTTTTGGCTACCCAGGCAGTTTCTGGGAAAAGCATAGGTGGGGGGGAGCGGGTGTTCTGGGCACAAAGCGGTGTTTTATTTCTGCTGCTTCACCATGAGATGGCCAGGCCTCGGGGGGTTGGGTTCGAACCTTCAAGCCCCCTCACAAGCAGCCTCAGAGAAGCCCCTCTCCTCACACCAATCCCCCTTCTGCACAGGAACCTGCCAGGGCTCCCAGCCAACATCTCTATCACCTTTAAGCACAGCGCGTGTGCGATCCGCTGATCGAGGGGCTATGGGGCACAGTAAATGCCTTCGCTGCTTCGGGGTAGGAGCTCTTTTCCCTGCCCCTCCACATCACAGGTATCACTACTTACTGGCGGTAAAATTGCTGATGCTGGTGAGCTGGATAAGCATGGGGCTTGGCTGAGGGAACACCGTGGAGTTGGTCTGGGGTATTTTTGGGGGTTCAAACATCTCACATGGAGTATGACAGAACAAATGCTACCGTCTGTGAGTAAGTTGGACTAAAGCCGAGAGCGGGAGGCTCCTTCGCCGTCCCTTGTGCGCGGGGCTGGGTACTGCTCCAGCCCTCTGGACTGTGGTCAACACCAGGAATCGTTTGACTGCAGCCCCATGTGCCAGAAAAATGACAGTGAGGGAAAGAAACTAATGAGAAGAGCAAGGCACTGATTTTTTTTTTTTTTTTAAGGGAAAAATGAAACGTGCCTTTTTGTCCAGATCGCTGTCGGGTGAAGAATTAGCAAGATCTCCACCAGCTGACGCGTATGGGACAGACATGGGTGCTGCTGGCCAAAGCGATGCCGGAGCATCGCCCTGGGATGGCATCTGCACTGCTGCGTATGAAACGCGGGATAGCATGTAGGTAAATTTATTTTACCTGGGAAAAAGTAACCCCACGGAAACAGGCAGGTTTAATGGAGTGGGTTTAATGGATCTCCATTCCCATTTCATTGAATCTGCTTTAAGAAATGAAGAACCAACCAACCCAGCAGACCTGACTGAAGATTTCAAGCATTACACATGAACGTTTTTGGAATGGCTCCTTCTCTCTGTCTGTCCTATCGAGATCTTCATTAGCACATACAGGAATTAATACATTATGTTTGCATGCCTTTCATCCAGATGGAAGTGCAACTGTGTCAGTCGGCAGGGTAGAGTGCCGAGATGATTTGGATAACCGAAAGAAGCTTGCCATAAGCAGATAAGCAAGAATAAAAACATGCACAAATCTCAGAGCGCTTACACAATCCTTACGTGAAGCTCTATAGCACAGCTAGATTATTTTCTCAGGTTAACAAGCGAGTGAATTATAACACTGACTTAAACGCTTACTAACCCGTATCATCTCCAAGGCTTAGAGCATCACCTACCTGCCTCACACCACAGCTGCAAATAAAAAGGAATCTGATGCAAGGGCAAGGTGGTCGTGGTGGTCCCAGCCCCGGCAGCCACCGGCACCGTCCCCACATTGTGCAGCCGTACGCCTCTGTCTGGGCAAGCTGAACTCAGAGCTCCGTAGCCACAACCATCCTCAGGCAGAGCAGCGGGCAAACAGAGGCTGGTGGTGGCTTCCTGCGAGCTCAGCACATGGAAGACCATACCCCAGGCTATCTGAAACCCTGACATTTAATCCAAGCCCCAAAATAACAGTTTTATTATGCTGCCATTACATAAGCTTCTTTGAAACTCAAACGAAACACAGCTTTTTTTTTTTTTTTAAACAGCATCTGTGTCTTTGCTCGGGATTAGGGATGTTACTGTGCATGATGACACAGGGTTCTCAGGCACGTCACCCTCACCCGCACACAAAAGTGCAGTTGCCGCGGATGAAGGCTGGCTGGGAACCGCGAGGTAGGCACAGAACGTCTCTCATTTCTTCTGCTTCCATGAGGGAATTTACTTCAGCTTGACAAGGAAAGTTTTGAAGCAAATCAATACGAGATGAAGTGCATAATGTATGGAAATTATGTTTTAATAAAAACCATTGGCAAGTCTGCAACTTAAAGCGCGGTCTATTTTCCTCGCCTGCCTCTCGTTGCCTCTCCACCACTCTGTGTCCATTCTGCACCGTCCTGGTTCCTGCCTCCTGCGCAAAACCACTCAAACCAAAACACTTGGGCTGACAAAAACAAGCTAAGCTCGCTATGGTTTTCTTTTTACCCAAGCTCGTTGTTCTGCTTGCGACTGCTTCATTAAGAACGAGGTATGCCATGGATCAGAAAGTAATTAAACAGCCTGACACTCCCC